ACCACTGTATTATTTATCCAATTTTAAAAAGAAATTAAAAAGAAAGTTTTGGTTTGCGCGTATAATTGAATGTCTTTAGAGAATTTTATTTCTTGAAGAGCGTGATTGAAAAATTGAATCTAGCCAGAATAATACTCCACCTTAACTTGAAGAGGAAATAAAGAAAGTGAAAACAAAGAGAGGGACTTTAAATTACGTTTGTTGCGCTTAAAAACATCCGCTAATTCAGCTAATGCAATTTCAGCTAACGAGGAGTTTATAATCAGTGCAAGTAGTTATCTTTTATTTTCCCATGCAACTGAAACAAAAGTTTAAAACCGGTTTTAAGAAAGTCCTGAACTACCTTTAGCAAAAAAAAAACAAACCTTACAAAAGTTTCTGATTGAAAGAAAAAAATCAAACAAATGTTTTACAAGAATGAGAGTAATCAAGTTATGTACTTTCGAGTAGTTTACGAGTCTTTTGAACTTGTAACACGAGTTAGAAATTGTATATGGACCTTTTTATTAAGAAGAAAAAAGATTTTTATTTCTGCTTTTTTGGGTAAAATTATTATTATATAAATGAAAAATTTTGATGCAATAAAAACCGGATAAGAATCTGGCTTGAGGAAAAAATTTTCAATCAAAGATTTCCATTTGGTGTGAAAGTTTTATCGTGGTTAGTTTTAGTACGAGAGGAATTTTCTTTTATGCTACTCAAATGCTTTCAAACTAGTCCTTAGTACCCTTTAGAGTCCCATAGACAGGTCACTGGGGATCACTCCTACTGAATCCGCTCTTATCTAACATCAAAGTTAAGGGAAGTGTTCCGGTTGTGGGCACCCTTTTGTTTTTGCCTCATAACATTTGTCCATGTGCATATTTTACAAATATATGTGTACGAATTTAAAGCTAGAGGTCCAAGGTGACTGTCAGTGAAGGAATTAAATTGATTCCTTTAAATAAAAAAGTTTTATTAGAAATTTAGTGAAATAGAAATTTTTTGACAAAAAAATTTTTGTGCCCGGTTGTGGGCACCCTTGAAAAATCCGCTAAAAATGGAAAAATATTAAAGGAAACCAACACAAATAAAGAAGAAATGAAAGTTTCTTTATTTTAAGAGACTTTGCCGGGATAAAGAACAAAAATGATGACACGTTTTCACACTATGCTCATCGCTAACAAAAGCATAATGCTTGCATGTGAAGTAGCTAGTACGCAAACCATAACGCACTTCGAATGCGAATTCATCGCATTTAATGGAGTTTGCGGCTGTCACATTCCTTGGCAGAAAGTTTAGATAGATGAGACAGTAGTCCACATCATTGTCAGATGGTAGAGCCTCCTTAACATAAAGGTGCCCACAACCGGGAATGACAGTCATTTTTTAAAAAGACCAACACATTTTGTGATGCAGGATTATGGTTAAACACGAAGGTAAATCACAAAATATAATGACAACACTGCAACAAAAAATTAAATCCTTTTTTTCTGAACGAATCTACACTAGGGTGGTCCAAAAATACATGGGAAAAAAAATAAAATCGGAATTTTAATGCTCTCACCCCCTAGGAATGTTCTATATGGAGAAAAAAAATACCCCTATTTTTTTTTAAATAAAAAAATATTTAGAGGTCGCTCAAAGCGCTGGAAGTTTCCCATGTAAAATGCATGGGGAAAAAACACTTTTTCGTAGAATTGGTATAGAATCCTTGAAAATCAATATTTTTCATTCAGCAAACTCTGTTTTTCTTCAGAAGACTTCAAAGAATAGTGCTGAATTGTTTATTTAATAATTTTTCAAATTAACTATTTTTTATAATGCCCCAAAAAAACCCCATAAATTTCAAAATTACAAAAAAAACCATTAAAAAATATTTTTTACTATTTTTATTAAAGTTTTTTCCTAGATTTTGAATAAATAACACAAATATTGATTTTTAAACATTATTCCATGTAATTGCTAATTTGTTTAAACAAATTATTATTGTTTATTTACAACTTTTTATCTAATTGAGCTAAAAAGTTTCGATTTTTTCTCAATTTTGCAACTTTTTAGGCCGAATGTAACCAGTCACTATCAACTAACTAAGAATATTAATTTTACCAATTGTTTAAACAAATTACTATTGTTTAATTTTATCTTTTTATCAAATTGAGCTGCAGAGTCGCAATTTTTTTCTCAATTTTGTATTTTTCCAAGGCAAATGTAACTAAAGTTACTAACAACAATCTAAGAATTACAATTTTACCAATTGTTTAAACAAATTGTTATTTTAAATTTGAAGCTGTCGCAGTAGTAATTTCAATGACGTAAATAAAAATTTTTGTACTTATCATTTTTATAATAATAAATTTATTGTTTACAATTTTTACTCGAAAATTAAGTCTTACATTAATTATTACCTCACAAAAAAAATAAAATGATTAAATAAATAATTTAGCACTATTCTTTGAAGTCTTCTGAAGAGAAACAGAGTTTGCTGAATGAAAAATATTGATTTTCAAGGATTCTATACCAATTCTACGAAAAAGTGTTATTTCCCCATGCATTTTACATGGGAAACTTTGAGCGACCTCTAAATATTTTTTTATTTAAAAAAAAAATAGGGGTATTTTTTTTCTCCATATAGAACAATCCTAGGGGGTGAGAGCATTAAAATTCCGATTTTACTTTTTTTGGACCACCCTAATCTACACCCATATGTTGCTCTTCGAAAACAATACAAAATTACTTTTTTATTAATTTAATGCAAATTTTCTTTATTATGCTCACAGCTATTACACAAATGCATATATTTGTTTCGTTATAAATACGAAAAGTTCGTATTGTCAACGAACACGACTTGCAATACTTAGATCAGTAAAGTCTGCTTGCCGTCGAAGTTTACGTAGAGGTGCCCACAACCGGAGAGTGCCCACAACCGGCGCACTTCCCCTACTATATAATCAGATATGTATTTGTTACACCAAATATTCCTTGAAACTTTTTGCCACTTTCTTTATTTTTTCTTTTTAAATTTTTAATGAAGTAAGTAAAATTAAAAATTTATGGGCACGAAAAAACTTGTTAAATTATTAAAATTTGGAAAAATTGAAAATTTCTTAAGATACTGAATCAATAATTAAATCTTTTAATTGTCTTTCTAAAAAATAACACAAACATTTGTTTAAAAAAAGTGACCGTCAATTTTATTTACGGATATTCCGTCTTAATAATGCAACCACTGTGCAAACTGTACCCAAGTTTATCAGCATTACACATTCCTGTCTAGAGCAATATGGAATTAACGAACCCCTCGAGAATAAAGTCGCGACGTCTCTATAACAACCCTCAAGATCAGTTGAAATAACGTTTCAGCCTATTAATTGGGAGAATATTCTTTCAACAATGGAAAAAAATATCACTAAAGAAACATAGAAACTTGAAATATAATTTATGATTAAAATTTCATATCCTCGTATAACAAAAGATAGAAAAAAAGACTGAAATATCGATTTTACTTTTTTTGTCCAATTTCCCAAGAACTCAGCAAATTCTCTAATAAATTTACAATTATTCAAAAGGTGCACTCAGCCGAAACTGTTTTAATTTTAATAAATGAAATATATTTAATTCAATAGTATCACTTTCATATTTTTTTCAGACCCACAATTTTTTTTCAAATTAAATGCACTTGACAAATTTCTTCACCTCTTTAATTCTGTATTTTTAAAAACTTTATGAATTTTAGAATCTCTTCTTTTAAAAACTCAATGATCTCAATTATAAAATTATTAAATAATAATTCCAATCGTTTTTATTACAAGAAATATTCTTACATCGAATTATATAAAATAAAATTTTATTCCGAAGAAATTGATGATTATAAAAGCTTTAGAAAAAATGAAATTAGACGAGACGAAATAATGTGCGAGAGAGTGAAAAAGGCAACATTATAGGATCCTTCTATCAAAAAACGAAATCGAGAATAGTTTTCAATGTGAATAAAAACAGTGGGAACTAAAATAATCCAATTCTTGAGCAAAGAATCAAATAATATATTTCCTTATCTAAAATCGTTTCCTCGTCCTATTTCCTACGAATCCGTAGCAGAAAAGAACCAATCTTCTTATGTTACCACTACACACTTGGGACGGTACCTATACGCCGGTATCACGGAATTATACCGGTAAATCGAGAAATCCTCTCTTAACTTCCACTGTATCGTTTAGTGTCGAACAAAGGACAATGCTCCGAGAAAATTTACATTTTCACTGCGGTTCGATTCGATGTTTCCTTTTACTGGGTCAAACTGGTTACCAAAATATGTTGCTCTAAGAATTTTCCCACCAAAATAGAACATCGTAAAAGTAATTTGAAATATTATAATACAGACAGACAATATTTTAATGAATTTCATAGAACCAAGAATAGGAAAAGTATTTTTCCGAAAATTGGTATTCTTATAGAAAAGAAATTTTAGAACAATAATTAAATTTTTTATATCACATGTCAATTTTTGCTCCAGTTGAACCTCTTTAATAAAATTATTTCTTTTTTTTAATTTTTCAAAAAGTACGTTGAACAGATATATTTTGTGTTTTTGATCTTTTCAGCATATTCAGAAATAGCGACACACAGGCACACAACTGAAGGGTAAAGATAATCTTTGAAAGTTCGTTCACTTTTGTTTATTTTGATTTTAATGAGATCCTCCAATGAATCACCAGGCATTGAAACACGATTCGCTTCACGAGAGGTGAAGCTCAACTGTTCAGCGCAACATCTCTTACGAGATTTTCAAGTACGCATATATATAATTTTCATCATTCGGACTTTATATCACTGAAAATCCACTTGCAAACTATATACTAAACTTTCCAAGAACATTTTGTTTCAATGTTTCTAGTGTATATGCGAAGATTACAAACGATTGCATCGCACTAAAATATAGTTTATAGCGAAACTCCATTTGTTTTGTGAAAAGATGCAATATGTGACATTAAGAAAACTATTTAATACGAAAAATTACTCACTTTGTATGTTCCCAAGTCTTTCACTGTACATCCCAACTTTACACTTCGTCCAGCTGGAACTGTTATATTTCCGATCTCATCGACGAATTCTGGATCTGGAACGGTGGACACTGAAGAATAAAAACAATTTTTGATTATTATGCTGAAAAATGTTAAATAATATGTGAAATTTCTGTATTATTTTGTAGTACTAAACAGGACTTTAAATCTATTCTTTTATGAAACATGATGTGATGCGAGTAGCAATAGTTTCAAAGCGAATCACAGTACCTTATTTGGAAAGGGATGAGAGTACTAGAAAATTCTCTTTGCTAACACTCCATCACTTATCACCCACCTTGTTTGAGAGCATTTGACGTGAGAACCTATTAGTGTATTTTTGAGCTTTTGGTACTTAATTTCATACTCTAGTATATTCAAAAACTATAACCAAAAAAAATATACGTAACAATAAAAGATATGTTATTGACGGTCCAAAATATTCATGAATATTTTCGAATGATTTACTTGGAGATAATGTACATCAGGATTTCCTTTCATATAATATCAAACTCCCTATAGTTTTCAGAAAGGATACATTAAAATTCAGAACTAGAAAAAGGAACAGAAAGACACATGCTTTCCTTTCTAGTATATATAGAGTACTTACTGAAATTTATTATTGGCAAAGAGATAAAGTTACATTTGACATTCGCATATCAAAAAAGCAAATTTTATTTTCTTAAAATTCACGAACATTATTTTTCTCATTTTTCAAAGAATCATTAACAGCGTGTGATTGTTACAAAATTCAATGTTAATTTTTTCGACCACTTTTCTCTTAAAATATTAAATAAATTAAGCTAGTTTTTTGTGAATAACTCTAAAATATCATAAAGAAGGGCAGTGATGTGAAAAAGTTTTAATATTTTTAAAATTATTTATTAAAAAATAACTTTAAAATTATCAGTTCTTAAAATCACTTTTAATCAATTTCTCGTCTTTTCCGATTTCAAAGTATTTTTTTATAATTTATTTTAGGATTATTAAAACTTTTGCACATCACTGCTCTTCTTTATTATATTTTAGAGTTATTCACAAAAAACTAGCTTAATTTATTTAATATTTTAAGAGAAAAGTGGTCGAAAAAATTAACATTGATTTCTGTAACAGTCACATGCTGTGGCCATTTTATTCATTTTTTTATATTCTCAAAGAATTATTTGTTTTTCTTATTTTTCAAAGAATCATTATCATTCAATCTTTTGCAAAAAATTTTCTTCTAATAAACCATTAAATTTTTTTTCAAATAGTATTCATTTAATTGCTTATAACAATTAAATTGTTTGTAATAATATGATTGTTTAAACTATAAGAGTAATAGTAATTATTGTAAATATTTATTGTAAACATTCGATTTATAAACTTTCATAACTAATTATTAGAAAAATTATAATTTAATAACATAATAAATCAGATTCAATATAATTGAAATTATATAAATTGTTTATAACAATTAAATTTTTTGTAATGTTCATAACAATATGATTGTTTAAATTAGAAGAGGAAATTGTAAACATTTGATTTATAAACTTTCATAACTAATTATTATAAAAATTGTAATTATATTTTAATAACAATATATGAAAACATTGTCGTTTGATTGTGAAAACTAATACATACATATAATACAGTCATCAATACATTCAATGGAGGACCCACTTACAATGACCTACTTCCGATTTCGGACTATAGGAAAAAGATAAGATACATATTATATAAGCGGCTTAGTCGAAGAACAATTAACAGAATCAACAAGCAAGGTAGAGGAGAACGGGGCGAGGCAGCCAAGATTGCACATTTTGGTTTGCGAGGCAGTTATTTAAATAGGTTTTTTCAATTTTAATATCGCGTTAGAAAGCTTGTCTTATTGGCTAAAAAATCGCCGTAGAACATTTTGACGTAGGTTGCACTTAAAAATTTCTACAACCCTTTTCCCAAAGGACCACATTTTGGCATATTTGAAAAAACGTGGGGTAAGGTGGCCAACTATTTTAATAGTTAAAAAACATAACTTAAAGTTAAAATTTGTGAAACATAACAAGGTAGTTGTCCTTAACTTACTTTTATTTTGTTAGTAAACTTCAAAAATTTACATTTGAATAATATTATAATAATAACATTAATTAAATTCAATTTAACATTTTAAGGAAATATAAATTTGTTATTCTTAAAAAATGGTTTATAAAATTCAATAAAATCAACACAAAAAGATGAAAAATTTAGTGTTGGCTGCCTAACCCCACGAGTACTTTTTTAAGAAAACATCCACAAAACCCGTAATATTAAAAATATCGCAATTTCATTAACACCATCGTCTTCAGCACTAAATTCTGCATTAAAAATCACTTTACAAGAATTTTATTCGTGTAACTCTATTAACTAAAATCACCAAAATAACTCTTAGAAAAGTTACATCCAAAAAGTCTGTTTTCATAAATGATACTGCCATTGCTAAACTGCTGCAGCAATAATGCCCATCTCTTAGCAACTAAAGTAAACTACCATAAGTAGTCTAAATTATCAATAGCGCACGATTTGAAAAAATTATGCAGAAATAAGAAGCAATTGGCTGCCTCGCCCCGTTCTCCTCTACACTGCTTTTCTTAAAGACAAAACAAGGACTAAATACTTATTTATTAGTTTTCGAAATCTAAAGACAATCTAATAGTATATTTTCAATTTGATAATAAAATTATTTTAAAAAACAATAAAGTCTTTATTGAGTTTATTTACTACCCGTGTTCCCATTTCATCATTTGGATGAAATAAAGCAAGGAATAGATAGGGAAAAATAATTTTTCTTAGAGTAGAATAATTAAAAATTAATAAACGATGTTTCAATTCTTCTGTAATATAATTGTAAAAAAATCTTATTTTAAATATAATATACTGAAGGCATTAGGCCAAACAGAAGAACTGAAACAACTTTTATATTTATATAATTTTATGACTTTCATAAAATATTGAATTAATTAAAAATTAAGACATAACACGATTGATGAAATTTAATCTCGGTCTAATGAGTGTAATAAAAGCGGAAAAGTTTATCTACAACCCTCATTCTTGTTTTTCGTCATCTGTCTACCACCATGAGTAGCGGCGCAATGATATCGAAGATATTGGAACTTTTTTCTCTTTCGCTATTCCTGGAAGAGGAACAAGTGGCCCCTTTTTGAAAAAGAGAGGCTGATAAAGTCAACTCATTGGCACCGGAATAGATAGACTGCTGTCATTTGTCAGCACGTCTCTTGCGTCGACATAGGGAGAAAGTGAGAGGGAGGGCGAAGAAACGTAATAGAGGGAAACGTTTAACTTAGCCATGCTTTTGATTCGATTCGGCAGGGGTGCTCGTATCAGCAGTTTCTAGCGGAGAAAATTCGCGAGAGAGGAAAATAGTTAAATGAAAATGCAACGTAAGCTCCTGGGCTCATGAATGCTAATTAAAAAGACACGCTATTGAACAGACCATGTTCTTATGTAATACAATAATTCTAACGTACCTCAGGAATTTTAAATTCTAGAAGAAAAAATATCATCATTATAGTAGAAAAAATTAGGCATTGCTCAAATTAGCACAAATCCAAGACTTTCTCATTTTTGATGAGAATGTAAAAAGATAAGAAGTCTATCATTTTTGTAGGAGACGGAAACCTGTTCTGAATTGTTTACTCAGAATTGCCACAAAACCTTTGGCTTATTATTTAGCAGTAATAATAAAAAAATATAAGTATATTTAAATAAATATGAAAACAGGATTTCCACAAAAATTTAATTTTGTTTTTTCTGGACTTTTCCCTGATTAACAGATAAAATTTTTACTTTTTCCCTGACCTTAAAGAATATTATAATATTATTTTATTAAAATTATATTGAAAATAAATAAATTCTTGCAAAGAATTTTAAAATAATTAAAATTCTGCAAATAAATTTATCAAACATTTTATTAATAATTTAATTCTTTTAAGAAAAATCCGTGACTGGTTGGAACTTTCGCTAAATCCGACGATGGCCAGTAGCCCAAGGATGCAGGAGGGCAACAACGCGTTTAAAGTATCACAGATCGTCGTGGACAAGGTGGAGAGAAGAGGAAGCACGAGCAGCGTCACAAGTCAAGCCAGCTGCATTTCTGTCTTCAGTAATCCTTCTGCGATTGACATTGCTAGCTGCAACGAAGATCGGGATGAATGCATTAAGCTGCGGGAGGAAGAGGAAACGAGCATTCTAAAAATGGAGGATGAGGTCAGAAAGATGCTGAAGTCCTGCGAAGACCAGAATGTCAATATGACAATCAAGGATACCCGTGTAGAAATTGACATATTTAGGCTGACCTGGAGGACAGTCAGATAAGGGTTGTGGGAGCTTTACCCACTAAAAACCACCTCTTTATCAAAATTGGAGGGACTTCAAATCAGGCGTCGTTCACCGAGGAGGTGACAAGGGTAATTGGAGTCTTAGGTAAGGTGGAGATGTCGGACCCGCGAACTACGTTGGAGATCCGCGATATGGATGCCCTTACAGAAAAAGAAGACGTACAGCATGCCCTGGAGAAAATTTCTACGGTGCCAGCAGGAAGGTGACGGTCCTTGGATCAAACAAGAGAGGAGTAAAGCTCGCTGTCGTGGTCACCAGCCAAGAAGACGCTGATAAGCTGGAGAAAATCGGGCACATTAAGATGGGGTTCGTCTCCTGCAAGATAAGAAAAAGAGCTATGGTCACAAGGTGTCATATGGCATATAGGTAGAGATTGCCAAGCAATAGACAGGTCGGCTGCGTGCTTTAAGTACGGAGAAGACGGACATAAGGCAGCAGATTGTAAGAAGAGCCCATGCTGGATCAGGAGGATGCAGAGTCTTCAGAACTGCCCTGGGAAAAGCAAAGAAGAACAAGAGCGGTACGGGAGAGTCGCGCCAGCGACTAAATGGGACCATTCATCTGCGAAGTCTGAAGCCGCAAAGTTGTTCCATAGGTGTATAGAAGGTTCAAAACCTAGGGGATCAACAAGAGTTTTTTAATCGGTAGGGGTAAAGCGCATTAAAACGGAAATTATCGAATATATACTTTATTATTT